TTAAATTGTGAAGGTTTTTGCAGTAAAGCTAAGAAGACGTGTGTAGTATGGACGTCGAACGATAATAATATAGAATGACGTAGGAGACAGCGTATGCGCGTATTTACGTAATTATTATTACCGTGTATTACTATACAGCGTTATAGTTATTTGTCAATTAGCAGATAAGATGTACCTGGTGTAGGGCAAAGACCCGTACACATACTAATAATCATTTACTACGCACACAGTCACAAATAACTCGTGCACGCACTTTAAATATTGCCTATACCTAACTCCTTAAATATATACCACCACCGATCCCCTTAAATATAAGTAATATTTATAAATATTTAAGTCATATTAAATAATATACAATATATATAAATATATATCACTGGCAATGTGAATAATTTAGATAGTTTGCAAAATCTCTAGGTTAGGTTAGGTTATTGCCGACCCTTCTGAGGCAATATAAATAAAATGTATAATTTTCAAGATTATTTTACATATAACATAGGTATTTTATAAAATACCTTGACATAATGTAAAATGCCAATATTTTTTCGGCAAAGTAAAAACCAATTTATATTATATATTAATATTACCTATATTAAGATTCTTATAATTATTACAACTGATAAAACATGCTGAAGAAAAATGTCATTTTAAAGTGCACAAAACATTATTTTTAATGCAAATCCAATTTTTATTTTGACACTTGATCAATGGTCTTACAAAAAACTTACTTTTGCAAGTGTTTATACTGTTTATAGTAAGACTTGTATCAGAACTAGCACTATCTTCGATGTAATGTATTTGAGCTTTCGCTATAAGCAAAATATAATTTAATTTTTTTCTACTACTATTATCATTGATTTTAGAATCAATACTATTATTACAACTTTTAATATTGTATACCTATATACAAATAATATGTGGACCATACCTACACATTATATTATTAATTTTCATTATATATTTGGACTAGATTCAATTAAAAAATTAATTGGACTTTTTTATGCAGCACAAAAACAAATAAATTTTAACCACACCAACTGCGTTTAAGTTGTCAGTCCTAAGTCTGAATAAAGAGGGAGGGAAGTTTGTATTCGGTATAATTTTTTTTCGTGTGGGAACTTACGTACGCCTGTAATTTTTTCATGTGGGAACTTACATATGCATACCCTTGTGTGATTTTTACCTGTTATATCTCGTGTGGGCACTTACATTCGCCCATCCGAACGACCCCTTTCCCCAATCTCGTTCCGATTATCGAGACCCTACTTTACGCTTATATAATACGGGTGTAAAATACTTAAACACTAAATGTATTACTAAATATACATTCATACCAAACACTAATAACTATATTAATGATGTATATAACATTTTATGAAGTATAACTTTTTTGGAAGTTTGCCGTATAACGTCCAACGATGTGATATGTATTATTTATGCGCTATATAGGTACCTACTATATACGAGTACACGACATATACTGTACTGTTCCTATAAATATTAAGTTAGGTTAACGTAGGTCGTAGGTGTTTCATTTGTGTTAATTTAAAAATAAATTACATCGTAATTAGAGTGAATTTCA